GACAGAGAATCGAGCGCAAAGAGCAAAGAGTTAAAACCCCGACGCTCTCTCTTTCTCTGTGTAGAAAAAGACAAAGAAAAAGGACGACACATAACCAACAGATGAATAAGAAATTCCTCTTTTGCTGTGTGAAATATCAAAAGAATAAAGAAACCGCGTATACACAAATGATATTGGGGTCGCGAACAGATTTTTTCCTATTTTTCTAATAGATGATATTATATTTAAGATATTTAATAACTTTGGTAATACTAATCACATTTATCAACACTTGTTTACATTTGAAACTTGACACATCACAGAGTAATAAAAACAAAATAGTTCAATTTTTGTTGTTCATTCAATTTGAAAATTGTAGATGTCAAAAGTTAAACTTCATTGTAGTCAATCAATCGCTAGAAAATTCAGCAAGATCGACACGTTAACAAGTTGCGACAACCGGTAATTAAAGTTAACATTAGCCAAAAAAACAATTTGAAATTATTTGAAAGATTCAGGATTACAAATTATGAAATAGAAAAAGAAACTTTTCTCCCGACCCAATAAACGCACACATATTTTATTCCCCTAAGTACTGTCTAATATATCTAATGAACTCGCAAGAGGGTCTGGTAATTAAACTCCACACTCACGGTTCTCCTACAAGTGCATAAACCGTTTTACTGGAACTCACCATCACCATCACCATCACAATCACCATCACCATTACCACTACCCACTACCCACTACCACTAGAACTATCACTACACTACACTACACTACACTACTACCACCACCACCACAACCACCACCATCATCGCCACTGTGACTTGGAGCAGTTGCTTACCACCCTCTCTTTTTTCCTTTCGTACAAAAAAAAAAAAAAAAAAAAAAACATGAAGAAAAAAGAAGTGTACACAGGGGAGAGTTCCAACGTTATAAGCGGTACGTTTTTCCTTTCCTCCCTTTCCTTACTCTCTTTCTCTTCTTTTTTGTTTGCTTCTTCTTTCTCCTCATCCACCATTCTCTCTCTCTCTCTCTCTCTACCATCTCCTCCTTTCTTTTTCTTCTTTGTAAATCACTCTCCTCTGTTTGCTCGGTCGTAATTTTTATCATTGGATAGAGAGGCAGGCTTTTCCAGGATATAAACTCGTTCTAACCACCCCCCCTCTCTCTCTCTCTATCCTCAACCACCACTTCTCGTTCTTGTTCTCTCTCTCTCTCTGTCTGTCTTTCCGTCTCTCATTCTCTTTCTCGTTTTCTCTTTTAGTCCCTCTCATCGTGCCGACAGGGGTTGGGGTAATGGATAACCGGCAGACGCGCGTGACATAATGCATGCGCGTACGTGTGTGTACGGTACATAATCGTAAGTACGCTTCAGCGTAATAGGACGACCGATGCACGCATATCCGTTTCCCCCTCTTTGCTCTGCTCTTCTCTGCTCTTCTCTTCTCTTCTCTTCTATGCTTTGCTCTGCTTTGCACTGCACTGCACTGCACTGTCTGTCTGTCTGTCTGTCTGATTCTTTTTTTCCCTTTTTTATCCCAGTTTTTATCGTAAATTTGTTAATAGGTGGGATAAGTCTTGAAAATTTAACAACCGTTCATTTCTCTTCCTCTCTTTTTCTCCTTTTTTTTTTAAAAAAGGAGAGGGGGTGAAACGGTAAATCGTAAATTTTAAAATGGACGAAATGAATCTTTAAAATTTGTATGAACGTTTATTTCTCTTTCTTCTTTTTTTTTCTCTTCCTAGTTTCATTGTAAATTTCGTAATGGTGAGAAGACAATGGTTGACAATTTGACTAACGTCCATTTATTTCTCTTTTTCTCTCTCTCTCTCTGTATGTCTGATTTTTGTTGAAATTATATACATGTGTATATATGTATTAGGTATCCAAGTGGAATAAATAAATCGTTGCGATGCGGAATTATGTTCCACCCTTCTCGAGTAACGTGTGTAAATCCCTCCTGGCGAAAGATAGCGTGGGCGAGAGAAAAGGGTCGAAGAGAGATTAACAATGGCATGATAAATGAGAGATTAGGAACATCGATTAATCCCACGTATTTATTCGTTTGACTTTATTCTTTTCTCAACTCACCACCCTAACTGTAAGTTTCTTGATAACTTTTTTCATATGCTCTCCCCCCTTTTTCTCTTTACCTTGTGCTTTCTTTTTTTCTTTTTTTGACAAGGTCAAGAATTTGTATATATATATATATATATACATTTTAGACATTTAAATAGAAAAAAATTTGTCCTACGCGTGTGCGTGTATGAAAATATATTACATAATATTTTTAATTATACAGTATATTTTATAATATAAAATATTTGTTAGTTAATATTAGGTTGGCAAGAAAGTATAATAATTTCGGCTTGCATTAATAGATACAGTTATGTTTGTTTCATTATTCTTTTGTTAATGTTAGAATTTGTTTCTATTGAGGTTTGATAGTTGACACTTTGAAGTTCCTATAGAAACAAATTCCGTGTAATTTTAATTAAATCTAAAAATAAACAATTGAATTTTATTTCACATTAGAAAAACAAAATTACTTTCTTGCCAAGCCAATATAAATAAAGAAGAAAAAGATCGTGCATTAGAAATAAATGATTCACAAATTTAAAGAACGAATAAGCATTTTCTTAGTTATTTTATTATTTTAGTATCTTTCGAAAGGAACACGTACGCGATGTGTAGGCAGTTTGCAAGGCGCTAATATACATACACATATACATACATTTCATTCGTAAAAGGCGTATAATAAAAAAGGCGGAAGAGGATGAAAGGAAAAGAAGAGAGAATCGCGTGGTCGGCCGTCGTCGTCGTCGTCGTCGTCGTCGTCTCTTCTTCTGTTGCGCTTACTTCTTTGTAACAACGTTACGCATACACGCGTATAAATATACCGTGCATATTGTATGTACACATGTATGTTACGTATATATGTAATGGTAGGTACCCAACTTACGTACGTACGTACACAAGGAACGTACATTTATTCGTGCTCATTCGCTTCGAAAATATCCACGCAGAAAGAGGAAGACAGAAAGAAAGAAAGAAGGAAAGAAAAAGAAAGATATACATAAATGTGCGCACGCTTGCGTCGTGACGCACACTATAATAGGGAGAGCGTGCCCCGAAAGTGCAAGAAGAAAAAATGCACGTGCGTGACGTAACATGTACCCACGTGGTGAGTCCCACATTCACATCACCACACAACACATACATACTCGTCGAAAGAGAACACACACAAATGTTTCTCTCAGAACGCATGGACCTATAACGCATCGAACAAATATAGAAAAAAATACGAATCTTTCTCAATGAAATATGATTTTTTTCCTTGAATTTTGAACTAATGTGTTAATGCAACCAACTACGAGAAATTATCTCTAAATTACTATTAATATGTTAATATTATTATTATTATTATTGTTATTATGTGTTTTTTTTGTATCTAATTGAATATTAAAGATTATTTAATGTAAAACATTTATTAGTTAAAAACGAATACAGGATAATCTTATCTCATTAATTTTCATTCAAATGACAATTACTTTAGATAGACTGTTATCTTTAACACGTTATTATTAGAGTTGTTATACTAATAGTCAAAATAGTTGTGCATTAGAAACTTGATTTTCGAATTAATTAAGAAACATTAATCTTCGGATGAACACAGGGAAATTGTATTACTTGAAGTACAAAGAAACTTTTTCTTCAATTCAATAAATTATAAAGTTATTCGAATAACAAAACATGCGAGTAGTTGAATGTTTGGATATTCAATGTTTCACTGTATCAACAATTTGTGGTATTTAAATGAATAGAAAAATCCAGTTGATGGTTCCAGTTGATATCTTGTTGATTTTTTGATAAAAAGGAATATTTGAAAAAATGCTTATATGTATATGGAGATCATTTGCAGAAATTTCTAATAGTTTCGGATGGGTGACCTTTGCATTACGTATTCTTGTCAACCGGTTATACCAGGCGTCCCCGCGTGTATTTGACATTTAATATACAGGAGTGTAGTGTTTTATCCGTCTGACACGCTTCCCTAACTGCGTTTGATCGAAATGTTATCGATAATCGTTTATCTATATCTACATGTAATGCATACATACGTGTTCTCGTTCGTAATTAATTGGATAATTCAAATGCCATAAATTAATCTCTTACAATTAATAAATGAACAACAAAATACCATTTAAAATAGAAAATAATTTAATTCTGAAATAATAATCATAATAATAATCATTGTGAACGTTCATTCATAAACAGAAATGACAATCGTATTATGTATTTCGATATAACTGAGTATAGTATTACGCAAAGAAACAAATGTAAACATAAAACCGAACGAACGTTCAATCCTGTGTTGTTTTAAGAATTACATGAGCATTTCTTCGAAAGTTCCAAGAATTAATTTTATTGATTTATCAATGAACTTTAATTTTGAAAATTGGTATGATGCAAGGAGTGAAATCGGAGGGCAAGGGGAAAAATCATTCAATGCGAATAGAGGAACGTATGATTGCTTGGAGCTTACTAAGTAAACACGTTTTGCTTCTCTCCAACATGCACGAGCCAGACACGAGCATAGCAAGAGAGAAAGAGAGAGAGAGAGAGAGAGAGAGAGAAAGAGAGAAGAAATAACATGAAAGCAAGAATAGAAGAGAGATGCTGACATTCCATGCATCCAGTGGTACGTAAGAGCAAGAGCAAGACGAGAAAGATAGAATGATAGAATGATAGAAGAAATTGAGTAAGCAGGCAAGCAAGCAAGCAAACAAGCAAGCAAACAAGCAACCAACCAAGCAAGCAAACAAGCAAGCGAAAGGTTTACCGTATATCTCTCGATCCCTTGAACGAGCCGCAGGATTTTCTCAAGGAGCGTCGCGTTAAGAACGCGGGAGAAATAAAAGAATCCCCTCCTCGTATAAAGAAAACAAGAAAAAAGGAAAGAAAAGGAAGGAAGATGTGTAGATAAAAAGCAAGAAAGAAAGAGAGAGCTTACCAGAAAAAGGTTTGTAGCCCGCAAGGAACCTTGCTCGCCACCACTTCACCAATCCGGTAGCCATGAGACCCTCATGCGTGTTTACGGCCACCGATCTTCGCTGTCTTCTATTTATCCTTTCCTTCTCTCGCACCTCACTTCCACTTTTCCTTATTTTTCTTCTACCTTCGTTTTTCTTAACTTCTTTTTCTTTAGTTTGACGAACTTCTTCCACTTGTTCTTTTTCTTTCTTTTCAAAGTTCGTATTTTCCTCAAAAAAGAAAAAAAAAATCTTCACGAAAGAGAGAGAATGATCTTCAATGTATATACACACAAGCCACTTGAGAACACGAGTACGATCCGGCACGTTCGATGCTGGCCACCCTCCCGTCACAGAACGGAGCCCGCGTCACACTACTCCCGGAGGACGTTACTCCGAAAAGGGGACGATCCGGAGAGACAGACAGAGAGAGAGAGGGAGAGAGAGAGAGGGAGAGAGAGAGAGGGAGGGAAGGAAAGGACGGGGAAGAAAAAGAATGAAGGGAAGGGAAGAGAACGGAAGGAGGGGAGAGAAAGAGAGAGTAGGAGAGAACAAGTCGGAAGCGGTGTAAGAAGAAAACACAGGAGAAGCAGCGTACGGTGGGACGCACGTGCGCGCGCGACGGTGGGCCTTACCCCCACCTCAAAAAAATCGGGTCTTACGGACCACTAGAGGAGGATGGAAAGGGACGAACGAGAGAAAGGGGGAAAGGAGACAAGGGGAAGAGAGAAGGAGAGAGAGAGAGTGAGTGGAAATAATGGAGCGAGCGACTGTGTGTATATAAATATATATATATATATGGGTATGTGTGGGTCGTATGTTGCTCTTTCTCTTTTTCAGTCTATTCCTCTTTCTCTTTCACTGCACGAAAATCACTTCCAAGCTTCCAGTCTTACTCGTCGCACTGCTGATGCACATACATGACGACTACGTGTTTATGTAGGTACCACGTTACACCAGAGGAGACGTAGTGTAGGTGTTTTATATGTGTGCGTGATTATATGAAACTAGGAGCAAGAAGCTCGGACGTCCGGAACGACGAGAGAGCGAGAGAGCGAGAGAGAAAGAAAGAGAGAGAAAGAGAGAGGAAATGAAAGCAACGGCACACATTCACGAATATCTTCTTTTTCTTTTTATTCTTCTTCTTTTTACTTTTTCTTTTTCTTTTTCTTTGAAAAGTACCCTCAGATCTTTTTACTCTCTCTCTTTTTTTTTCAAATAATTCCGCATAGCGTTTAAATCGGGCGATTTAAAAGAGATTGTAGAAATATAGTTTTGTTTGAAACGTGAGATATAAAAAAGAGAGAGAGAGAGAGAGAGAGAGAGAGAAATAGATAAAAAAAGAGTCAGCAGAGTGAGAAACACGAGAGAATAAGGCGTAGCCCGCGCGCACGACAGCCCAGCTCTCGTGGTTGTTCGACTACAACTACGGGCGATCGTCCTCGCCTAAACCACGTTCCCCGTAATGCCTTCCTTCCCCTTTCCTCATTTCTCTCACTCTCACTCTATCTCTCTTTCTCTGACGACCGTGCCTTCGGCGGTGGCGGCAGTGGCGGCACCAGTGCCGAACCGAGGATACGCGGACCCGAAGGTAGGAGGTGCGGCTTTTACTCTTTTTCTCTCTCTCTCTCTCCCTCTTTTTATTTTTCTTTCTCTTTATCTCTTTTGCACTATTTTGTATTTCTATCTTTTTCTACTCTCTTCCGTATGTCGTATATATATATAAGTATTAATGTAGGTATATGCATGCATACTAGGTACTATACAGGGTACTCCGGTTACAGTGATACAATTTTCACTATTTCACTTTTTTTATTTTTTCTTATACACTATTCCATAGTTCTAACTTCTTCTATTTTTTCCCGTATATCATACACACTATTAATATAACTATTGCAAAGGTATATGCATGATGTATGTATGATACCTTGTACAGGGTGTTCTGGTTACTGGGATACAATGTTTACTCTCTTTTTCTCTCTCTTTTTCTCTTTTATATTATTTTGTATTTCTGTCTCTTTCTACTCTTTTGCGTATTTTTTATACACATAACTACAAATTTAGATACATATACATATATATAAATAGAGTGTTTCGTTAACATTGGTACAAACCAAGCATAAAATGATTTTTCGTGAAAAAATGTCGGAAAAATGTAGACTAAAATTTTTACATATGAAACTTCGTTTACAAAAAGAACGATCTCAAAAACTTCCAGATTAAAATCCCATTATTCGTTTTACGAAGGACTCATTAAATCGAAATTATACTCAGTAGGAAATATAAGTCTCGATTAATTATATGAAAACATTATTTGGGCATTTAAAAAAGTACAAAATTTAAAAAAAAAAAAAGAGCAATTATGTATGCGCGATTTGTCATGATTAAAATTTTGATGAAAACCTAGTACATAATCTCATCGTTATTTGTAAAATCTTTCTTATAAAATTGAAATATAAAGTTAATGAACAAATATAAATCTATCCAATAGATTTTGAAAACATTTGTATCTAAAACACTATTGCAGAACACCCTGTATATGAATATGCAACATATTACAGTACATAGTAAATACTAACAGTGTAAATACACTGTTTGTCTCTACTGTCTCCTGTTTTCTCGTCTATTTTTTTTTTCTCTTTTAGGATTTGTTTTTAATTTTCCCTTACATCTCTTTTTAAAAAAAAATTATTAAAAAAAAAAAAAAAAAACAAGTAGAGAAATGTTAGTATTCCTGTAAACGTAGAAAAAAGAATGATGGAAAATGTAACTTCGATGGTTGGAGTGTTGGAAAGCCGGAGGAAATGTTAAAACGTGTCGTCACAGAGAATCGGAACGAAATGCTTTCCGATCGTTCAGAAAAAAAAAGAGAGAGAGAGAGAGAGAGAGAGAGAAAGAGAGAAAGACTGTCATGAGAGGCGCATCTCGCGAGAGTAATGTCTTTCTATTTCTATCTCTTTCTACCTTTCAACTTTTTCCTTGTACATCGTCAAAAGTGCCCGGAGGCGCAAGCCATTTGTGTTTTCACCACTTCGGAGGTGGAAGAAGACCGAGAGAGAGATGATAAAAAGAAATGCAAAGAAAAAACGGGAAATAAAAAAATAAAACAGAGGGAGAGAGAGAGGGAGGGAGAGAAAGAAAAAAAAGATGTGCGCGCAACAAAGTTGCACAACAGGGACGACGAACATCTCGGATTTTGGAATATGCCTCGCGGTACCGAGAGGTAGATGAATTTCGGTTTTAAAGCTGGAAAAAAGGTTTTCCCTATGCGAGAGAAACGACCAGCTGCTGCTGCTGCTGCTGCTGTTGTTGACGAATCAAAAAATGAAGATGAAAGAAATATGCGAAATTCCCGTTTCCAACTGGTGTGACATATTTTGGAAAATTGACTGGAACAGCGAAAAATGAGAAAGAGAAAAATTGTTGAAAGAAAGTGGAATAATAAATGAAGGGAATTTTCGTAGAATAACGAATAAAATGGCGTTATTCTCTCCCTTTCTCTCTCTGTCTCTTTTTCTTCTTCTCCCTTCACGTCTCACGCAACCAAAGCTTTTGTCGTTTCATCGAGAATCGATTTAAACTCTGGGGCCATCCATTCGGACGTTGACACGCCCGTTTCTACATTCGCCTGTTATATGAGATTCACGGATTTCCATGCTTTTTCCATTTCTGCTTATCGTCCTCAACCTATTGTTGTCCAAGTCACAAAGACCATGTGTACTTTTATGTCAATGGATTACTATTCTATGACGTCATTGTCAAAAGATAAGAGAAGTCATTAGAGAAAAGGGGACTCTCATTGGAGTCTACAAAAATTGTGTATGTAATAAGCAACTATTACATTTATACTGGTAATTATGACAATGAAGTAAATCGAAAAAAATAAATGCAAATAATTGTTTTACATGACATTTGTTATATTCCAATCTTCTTATTTCCAATCTTTCCCTTCTTTCAAATTTATTAAACGATTCTTACTTATTCGTGTTTTTCTATGTGAAACAAATAAATTTAGCGCAATAGTAGGATAAAATGTAGTCACACACACACACATACACAAAAGGGGTTAAATTTTATGTTACATGATATTTATATTTTCTCGTAAGCTGCCGTTTTACGATTCCTCCCTTTCACCGCTCGTAAAACTAAAATCGATGAAGAAAATGTCGCTTTAAACTATCGTTCGTTAGCTCCAGATTGGTCGACTTTATGGCGATTGTACACTCCTGCGATAAAGGTTTACTAAACGATTTACACATGTATGCATTAAGTATTTTCTTGCATCCACATATAAATCATGTTCATGTTCATACATAATCAATCATTCATCAAAAAAAAAAAAAAAAAAAAATTCATAGAAATAAGTACAACAAATTTGTACAAATGAATAAATTGAAAAAAAAAAAGGATAAAAATAAAAAGGTAATAGTAATCAGATGTAGTATGAAAAAAGGTGATAAAATCGTCCACCTCAAATTGGTGCATATGCACGCGTGTTTGTGTTTGTATGTGTGAGAGTGTGTCAGAATTATTTGCTTACGAGAGTCACGAATAAAAAGTGAAATACATTGTATAAGTTAGATGTGATACAAATAAAATAATTCCGTTCCCGCATTGACTGTACCTTACTTTGGTTATTTTGTCTCTTGCGTACTTCTGACAACTCGCCGTCTTCTTTACCCCGTCGTATCGGCGACGTTTAAACGAAAGTACTCTTTCTTCGAAGCCGACCAAGAAGAAGAAGAAGAAGAAGAAGAAAAAGAAAGAAGAAGGAGAAATAAGAAAAACAAAAAGAAAGGACATGAAAAAGAGGGTGAAAGGAAGTCGAAATCGTTCAAAGTCTGAAAACAAGAGGGAGAGAGAGAGAGAGAGAGAGAGATAACAATTTCAAGTTCAAATTTGACAAATTTTGGTCAAATTTCTCTTTCATATCGAACGAACGAATTTAAATTTGAATAAATAAATATTCCTCCAATCTCACCCTCCCCAGATATATAAAAAAAAAAGAAAAAAATAAGATAAAACGTAAATAGATATTTATCTAATTGTAATTAATGAAATTCCAGAGACAGAGATCAATAAAATTCTTGCGAAATAATTCAAAGAATTTGATCAAAAGTTTGATCGTTTAATTTAACGACACTTGGAATTTATTCTCAGC